TTTCATTCACACAAAATTTAGTTGCTTTATTACAGTAGTAAGTTCGTGTGTTACGGACGATCCGCACATAAGACGAACATGAATATAAAAATCTAAAATCTGAATGTCGTGCGTATAAGACCACCCCCTTTTTGTTCGATCGTAAGTTGCTATTTTAAGCATCGTCCTATTATACGCGAGTATACGGTATTTGTTTTAAAACCCTAGGTCACCTGAGCGTTAGTCATACAGTGGCGGATTCAAGGGGGAAATTTTTCATAGGGAGGACCCCACCCCCTTTCATTTGTGGTATTTTTGGAAAAGTTTAGATCCCCCTCTTTTAAATCCTGGATCCGCCCTGTAATTAAAATTGTCTACTGACAAAATTAGACCAAATTAAACCTTGTGACATGGGTCAATGGCCAGTATCGGCATATTTGTTTTAAAAAATGGTCCAATCCAGTAAAGGAACATGTGTAAATTAATAGTTTGAGATCACTATTAAGTCTCTACAGTCAGTATGTAAAACGATAGTCATATGCATTGAAACATTGCAAATGTCATAACAGCATTTTTGGTAATTTTTAGCAAACTTTTCTATTATTACAAATAAAAAACATGAATGTTCCGAACAAATTGGTCATAAAAAATTAACTCTCTATCAGCTGTTGTGGAGATAATAAGGACTCAATAGCTATGACATTTGAAGCATGTCAAAGGTCAAAAACGGCATTTCCGGTCATTTTCTAGCAAACTTCATTATTAGACCCAATATATAAAACATCAATGTTTCAAACAAATTGACACAACACTTGACTCTACCAATAGTGGTTGCGGAGATATGATCATCATATGGAGACGACCTTGAAGCGTGTCAAAGGTTAGAAACGGCATTTCTGGTCATTTTGCAGGAAAATATTTTATTAGAGCACATAGAAACATGATTCATGAGGTAAAAGTCCCCGTTAGCAGAAATGGTCCATAGTGAGCTGTCTGATAGTTGAGAGTGAGCTGTCAAATGGTCCAGAGGAAGCTGTTAGCAGCTCCATAAACTTAACTTTAATAATTGGTTTTAAGAGTCCATTGGGAGTTAACGAGAGAGTCCTACCAGCAACATATAGCCATTGGAATGTAAACAACAATCACTCACTTCATCTCATGGGCTTCAGTGGCAATAAATAATTTAAGAACCCTTCGCTATTCAACAAACCAGCAGGATGTATAACCCGGGTTTTTTTTCCGAAAGCCGGGTGCCATGGACCAGTTCTGTTAATGGCCAGAAATGCAGCATGTGTTCTGAACAAATAGGCACCAAAATTAACTCTCTACCACCATTGGTTGCGAAGATATGACGACCCTATAGCTATGACATTTGACCCTGGCCTTCTGACCTTTCGCCACAGTTTGAAAATGTGTTACCAAGCCAAAAATTATCCTTGGACCACCCTAAACAAGTTTCTGAAGTCAAATTCTCTGGACCTCAAAGTGCATACAAAACCTTATCTGGCTACTAGGGTATATACAAAAAAACTCCATTTAGCATTACATTATGTGTGGCTGTATTGTGCTAGGCTTAAAGTAGTCGATATTCGTTATCCTTGGTTAACCATGGTTCATTTAAGCATGGAGGTATAAAATAGAAGGAGAAACAACCAACCTAAATCCTATTAACTAAATGGCTTTTTGTGTGATATACTCTAACTTGCTCAATCCTGATTGGCTGCCTAAAATGAATTCAAAAAGGCCGCTCTTGTCTACTGCGCCCAAGGCGACCATTAACACCGTGAGGTCACTGCAAATTACCCATTGATCCTAACTAGTTGCCGATGGTCGCTTGGTATTCTAATCTCAATACGTGGCCATTCTGTGCCCTGAACAGGTATAATAATAATTATTTACACGATTTCATTGGTTTAGAGTACGTAGTAGTTCAAAGGTTTACCCTATTCCATCGTAAAATGCTGCCCTCTTTCAGACAAACTAAGATTTGTAAAAATCCGATGACTCATCGCGATGTTATGGCTGAACGAAGATTCTAGCAACTACTCGGGGGAAAACGTAGATTTTCTTTCAAATAGGTTTCTCTTCTTTTTTTTTTATACCTCCATGATTTAAGCAATTGTTGTGGAATGACGTGTGAACATCAGCTACTAAGCCCCTCTATACGGCTGCTACAGTGGTCACTGATCACACCCATACGCGAATTCAGCTAAAAGTTATAGCTTATTCTCCTATTTTCTACTCTGGTTTATTGGGACTTCAACTTAACCACAATAAAAAATATTATCGAATGTTTATTGATGCTAAAATGTAGAACCGATAATTGAATACAGGTCGAATTTACAAAAGCATGATCGTGTTCAAGGCAGCAACAGGTAACATTTGTGTTATCATTATAATTATCGACCTGTAATATATCTGTCTCTTATACACATCTAGATGTGTATAAGAGACAGAAGCTAGGCCTAGGCCTGGTAGGGTGACTTAGCCTAAGGATAAGCACGGTCTAAGTAGGCCTACAGTAGTAGGCCATGGTGGGAGTTTTGTTAGAGTGACTTAGAACTATATTATTAACAATACATGGATGGTGTGCTACATGATACATAATATAGCAGAATTGATGTTGTCAAATCTAACCAATGGCTGCATCTCATTTGTTTCATTAGGTTTCACGTAAAGATGACATAAGAAATATACTCCTTGAAAAATTGTCCGAACTTGGTGATGAATCCATCACAGAAAGTAACCTTTCACATGAAACTCAGGATTCGAGTTTTGCAAATGACAGTGTTAATGAATTATTGAACACATCAAAAAAACATGATGATACAGAAATCAGTATAAGGGATAATTCCTTAGATGCAGATCTCTCATATCCACAAGAACTTGAGATGAAAAGGAAAGCAGATGAATTTGCAGAAGAGGAGGAGCTTACAGAATCTGATGAAAGGCTTTGTGTTAAGGATTCCATGACTGCTGTAGCTAGTGAAACAACCGAAAATACAGAAGATCATTCTAAATCAAAACATATTAGAATTGAAACAAGTGACTCAACTAGACATGGTCAGATATATTTTACACTAATTTAATTATTGTTTTAAATAATATGTTTAATCCAATCTCCATACAGGTTTCTATTGCCTTGCTCTAAAATGATAACATTATGATACTTTTTGCAACCGTACCACACAAATGTAGCAATGTGTCCAAAGAATAATGGAGCAAGCAAGAAATCAAAAAAGTGTACAATAAGATTTTCATTTTAGTGATTATGCATTCCAAAGAATCAAAAGGAAGTCTTAGAGCACTTGTAATAATAACACTTTCACTACATGTCATCAAACCTTGCTGCTCATATCCATTTTTTTTGCAGTCAAAAAACCTAAGTCATCCAAGCCTAGTTCTCAACCGTCCAAATCTAGCTCTCCAGCCTCATTCTGGGCAACTGCCAAGTTTTCTGCCCACGCTTTTGAAGGTCACAATGATCTCATTGTGGCTGTGCACTCTATAGAAAATACCATTTTATCAGGAGGGTAGGATTTTTATTTAATTATTTTTGTGAATTTTGGTGTCATGGAAGTATATTATATAATATTACACCTCCATGCTAATATATAAACGACAGTTTAATGATGTTTAATAATGTATAAGTAATTTATAACATTTTTTTTGACTTATGTAAAAGTGAGCAATGTAATTTCCAGCAATGGATAATAATGAAGGCCTATTCTGTATCTGTAATATATAGGTCTCTATCAAAAGAAAGTTTTCAAATAATCAATTAAACATCCTTTTTAAACATTCTCCATTGTTTTTATAATGGATGCATACATTGGTGGCACCTGTAATATTGTCTCTTATACACATCTAGATGTGTATAAGAGACAGTTTTGATACTGATTTATACTGTAGTACTAGTGTAGGCCTAGGCCTAATTTTTTTCTGTTTATGGTGTGACATTGAATAAAAACGTTGGCACATGTGTGTAAGCCGGATATGCATGGATGGTCATGGATCGTGTGTGGTTGGGTAGGTGGAAAGATGGTGTGCCAGTGAGGTGGACCTGGGTTGTTGGTGGAGGAATTTGGATGATTGGCAGTCTGATTTTTTTAAACTTGTGTATTTTTCATAATACATCGTAGGCCAGTTTAAATAACATATATTATAATGTGACTTCCTAACTAAGGGCCTACTATTACTAAGGCCTAAGTAATATTTGTATAGTAGGCCTATTATTACTCTTGTTGCAAAAAATCATATTTACAGTACTCTTGTTATGTGTATGTACAGCGCAAATAAGAAGTTGTCATTGTTGTATGATGATTTTTAGTTCATTAAAAGAAAAACCACATTCAGGAATCTCAGTGCGGGGGGTGACAGCTGCTAGGGAGCAGGTACATATGCTTATCCGTGGGTTTACGGAAGAGATCAGTTTTAAGTGCACCATTTTCCATGGTCACGGTGATGTCCAAAAAATCTACACTATATATATATATATATAGATGGTGATAGTAAGGTAAAACAACAGAAAATGAATCTGGTAAAGAATATAAGAAAAAATGTTAGCATCACAACCTCGTTCCACAAAGGAAAGGGTATTTCAATATTGCGACGTGTACGTACGTCCTCCACCACTAAACTAGGGATTTCTTTTGGTGACGAACCAAAGCAATAGAAAGCTTTTTAAAGTCTACACACCTCATGATTAACAATGTTAACCTAATTTTACTGTAGCAAACCATAATCCATTCAACATGTAAACAAAATATTGTAACTTACAAGGTAATCGTGACGTGAATCTTAACAATATTTGAGACAGAATTACAAATAGTCTACGGTAACTAACACTGCCAAAATATAGCTCTTCAAAAATCTATGGGAAATTCCATGTCTGTACATCACTATAGTAATGACATCATTGATCACGTGAGTTAGCCAAACCAAGCAAAATAAATATTGTTCACATACGTGCGGTAATATTTAACGCATCAGTGTCTTCACAAATAGGCGTTTGGACACAAAGCCTTTTAGCTTTATAATATTGATTTTTTTTTTTTTTATAGATGCACCGCCTACATGCTGATTGCGTGTACTGTACATGTATATCCAAATATATTGTTTATTTATATAGATGGCGCTATATTAGGATACTCTATTTTTATTCTATATTTATATTCACATTGTTTTGGTGTTTTTATGTACAAATCAGTACAATTCAGCTTAAGGAAGCTGCGAATGTGTAATTTTTAAAATAAACTAGAACATGAACTGGAACTTGAAATTCTAAGCCAGCGAGATCAATAAAGTGGAACGATTGATTCCTTGCTACGCTAGCGTATTTTTCGGCACAGACACATGACCTACAGACACATACCCCTAAAGACAGACCACCTACACTCCATAGAGTGCATACCTCCGCCCTGTGCCTGATTACAGTACCAAGTCACGTATTCCTGGCGAAACTGCATAACACCCTCAATGAAATAATGGTATCGCCCGTCGTATTTAGGCTGGGCTAGAATGACATGCTTCCTATAAAATATTATAATTAAATAATTTCGGCTTCATTAGTGGTAATATAGCAGTTTACAAATAATTTCGGAATCTTAAAAAGCATGTTAAGCTGCACGCTTATTTGCACTCAAAATCATCGCAATTTTAGGATCGTATAGGCTATGCAGATGATAACATTTTTGTAACAATTTCCGCAATATCCTTGGAATGAATATTCTACCCAGCTGTATCTGATCACTTCCGAGTTTACTCTATTATTCATTCTAAATTTCACCTTCCTCTTCCTTAAAAAATGTTAACAAATATGTTTATTTTAAATCATTGTACTTCTGTTTAATATATTACCTATATTTTATTTGCAAAGAATTCAGTGGACATTCCACAGTTGTGTAATAATTTCTTTTTTATAGAAAACTCTGCTTGCAATCTCGAGAATTACACCTTCATATAATATATTAAGATGTACCATAAAGAAAATAGATTAATTACTCATTACAGAAGCTAATCTAAGCGAATATAAAGATCTATGTAGAGGTTTTCATACCCGTAGAACTCAATAAAAGCATTTTCAAATCCTGTACTGTTTTCTGATTGGATTGGACGATATCAGTTTTCATTGTAACATCATATTTCAATGATTTTTTGAAATGTTTAAGGATGTTTGAGATAAAAAAAAAACCCTGTGGGAAACTTTTTTTGTATTTTCTATGACGTCATCAAAATGCATTTTCTGATTGGACGGGGCCAAAAGTGTTTTAGGCATACGCCAACATTTAAAAAATTCTATTGTTTATCTTACAGTGAATATAAATGTTTTTTTTTAATAAATCGAAATCGAAATCGAAATTCATAATAATATCAGACAACCTAATTTGATATTTTAAGAATGTAAAATGTGTTTACATCTGTGAATCCATGGAATTCGCAGACGTTAGGCCTACACCAATGTCATGATATATTAATTCCGTCCTCAATCATATTAGGTCTATATTGTAAAAGTATCGATAATGGTCGTTTTATGTTTTTTGATAAGTCTCAGTGCCGTGTGAACGAGGAGGCTTTGAAAAGGAACTTTATTGTTCTACAAAATAAAGCATTGCTATCTACCAGGATAGGATGGTTTTTTGCAACTCTTATTTTGGTGTAAGGAAGGGGTCTCATTTTGTTATGGAGCTACAAAGATATAGACAATATTTCATCTGTCGTGAACGATTCCGATTTGCGCCTCAGGGGTGACGCCAGCGGAGGGCAGGGGCAGGGTCCCCGTCGAGGAGAGCTCCCCCCCCCCCCCGGCGTGGGGAGATAAACTACCAGTACAATTCATCGGGGAGAAATAACATGTTTATGTATTTTCTACATATTAGAACGCCCCTTGCAATGCTGAATAAGTTCAGTGCGTACTTTTTATGTCAACATCTCTTGTACTTTACCCTTGTGCGAACTCTCTGGAAAGATCCCCCATACTTCGATAGGACGTCCCCGGTTTGGGTTGTTTTTAAGTCTCTAGTGGGTTTTCTGCTGGTGTGGAAAGAATATCTCTGTTCTGTGTCAAAACATTAATAACTTCATCAGAAAATGGAATCCTGTTTGTCAAGCCACGAGGTATTTTTAGAAATTCAGCAAACACGTGTTTACGTTCTTATAACGTTCTTGGCGAATGTTGGGGTTAGGTATGTCACAAAATAACGTTTACACAACGTTTTAGGAACATGCAAACGTTCAGTACGTATTTATGGTTCTACAAAATAAAGTTTTCAACACACTACTGCAATGTTATTGTCACGTTATCATAACGCATTATTGTTTGCTGGGAAGTTCGTTACTACTCGCGTAGTAGCTCACCTCCCCGTAAGTGAAAAAAAAAGGAAGCTTTTAAAAGTCTTGGATGTCTTTGAATACTTTTAAAAACAATTGACGCCTAGATATAGGCCTTCTTGTAGATATCATCTTAATTACTGTATGATATACCATATTCTAAACAGATGATAGTAATTGTTATTGTCGTGATGGAATAATAGACAATAACTGGATTTGCGTCGGGAGAAACATGTATAGGTGTAATTTTGCCCTACCTGACGTGGAAATGTACCGAATACTCAGTACATTTGAAAACAACTACGAAAAAAAATCTGGAGATCGTGGATTCGAGTCCCGCCCGAGAACAACTTGCGATTTTTTTCGCAGTTGTTTTCAAATGTACTGAGTATTCGGTACATTTCCACGTCAGGTAGAGCAAAATTACACCTATACATATTCTAAACAGCAACAATATATTAGAAGATTTGCTCACTGTTAAATCACGAGCAGTTTGTCAATTTTCGGAGTGCTTTTCCCACGCTTTGCATGAACTGGTTGAGTAGACGCGCGTACATCCCTACTGATTGTGGCTAAATGTACGAAAACAAGACTGATAAAAGTGCGTCTAGCTCGCAAAGTTGCAAAAAGTAGGTAGCAGCTAAATTTGGTACCATCATAAAACTAAGGCTATACTGAAGATGGTGATATAAAAATTAAAGCATGAATCCACATGAATCTAAACTTTCTCTCCTACTTTTATAAAAATAGATTTTTAAATATTTTTTCTGTCGTTTAAACATAGATTTATTATTGATGCAAACTTCAAATTTAAACCAAAACATATATTTTTGTTCCCCAATTTATATACAAGAAACGTGTAAATTTTGAAGTAATTCCGAATTTTCTGTAAGAAAAAAATCGTGTTTTGATATAATGTATAGTCAATTATAGCATTTGAAATATTTATAGAGAAATTTCCGACATTTGTTGAAAAATACCACCCTTAAAATTCGTTTAAATGTAAAATATGTTCAGGATAGATTCACCAGGGTATACCCTTCTTCAATCATGTGAAAAAAGGTGTAAAAGCCATAGTCACCAAAATAGACTTTTGGCACACTTTGATTTCGCCCAGGCTCACTGTACGACGCTTTGATTCGCGCGAATAAATTCGCCTAGTGGATAAACCAGCTTGAGAAGCGTTTGAGTGTTTGACCTGGTTTGACAAAGCTTGGTATGAATTTATGCATGAGCAGAGTTAGCAAGTCTATTTGACCTAGTGATTCTCATTGTTTTGCATTTAGCATAGTTGCCAGAGTTAGCAGAATTCTGCCTTTTTAGCAGAATATTGACCGTTTTAACATGCATATTAGCATTAGGCCTATTCTTAGCAGAAATCGACCTATTCTAGCAGAATTTTAGCAGAATTCTGATGAAATCACCCATATAACTGTTTTTCTAAATTGCTCTCTCCTGTAAAAATAAACCGTCCGGAATCCCAACTTTCCTCCAATTAAAAAATAGTATGTAAAATAATTACAAATCCGCCTCATGTATTTCGGCATGATGAGGGTGGATATCTGAATCATATTAAATAACGCCGTCTTTGGGCCTCCGTAAATTAGAACTTTTTACCAAAGAGTATAAAATTGCAAGAGGTCCACCATCCCTGATTTTGTATCTTGAGTGGATTTCCCGTACGATTAAAAATCGTAATGATCTGGGTTTGAACAGGTCAAAAATAAACACAAAGCTATAATGAATCGAGCTTTAGAGCACATAGAAAAAATTATTAGATTATCACTTAAAAAAAAAAAAAAATTAGGGAGGGCGGTTTTTTTGTTTGTTTTTTTTTTTTAATCGGAACAATAAATTATTTGGCTTTTTTTTAATCGATGAGTGAAGGACTGTTTATATTTGGCCTGTACCCGGGCCTGTGATGGTAAATATTGTATAAAAACTGGTTTAATTTTATAGTTTTTTAAAGAAAAAATATTTGAAGTCACAAATTTGCATTGTTATTTTATGCTGTTAAAATAATTGTTGCGGCAAATACTTTTTTTTAATGGTCCTGCATCAATATTTCCCAAATTTTTGACGCGGGCGGGAGTGATAATTTAATAAATTTTTCTATTTTCCCTTATCCAAAGTTCCTTCCAGAGCCTAGTTTTTTTATGCCTCACAAATAGGCTCCAAATGTTGTCAATAAATTACATATTGATATCGTATTTTGTGTATATAGTTATGTTTAAATAGTCGTAATTCAATTTGTGTTTGAATAAAGTATTATTCAGAGTGAGATTGAGAGGAGATGTGTCAAAACATTTGTTTCCTATTTTAAACAGTGACAAATTGTGAGCAAGTTCGTGTCATTAAATTTCTATAATTCAAACAAAATCCTATAGACTAAATTATCTTAAACAAGATAAAGACAGTTTATAGTTAATAGTTTCGGCTTATAGCATCATATGAATTGTATGTGTGTGACAAAAAAAAACGTGTACTTCAGTTACTATGGCAACCAAATACATCATCCAAAAAATTTGTAAGAAATAGGCCTACTTACATGGTCCCAAATTGTGTCAGAGCGTGGATCTATTTTTAATGCCCATTGTCTCTTTTAG